ACATAAAATTCCTTCGTAATATGTTAATCCTATACTCATTATTTCTGCTTTATTTTTTCCCCAGTTTCGTATATCTTTTACAAATGCTACTGGGACAATTTGTAATCCTGTTTCCATTTATTCTTTTTTTGGAAAAGTTTATCTTCTGAACACATTTGTTGTTTCTTTCATAATATTACAGGAGAAATACTGGTTTGTGGAAACAAGAAACATAACTGGCAATAATAAAATTTGCCACACAGACACAGACAGACAGACAGAGGTTTCACAGCGTCTCGTGTCGCCTTCCGACCCCCAAATTTCTTCTCCACTAAATTCCATTCAATCTTCTGATTGTGGTTCTGCCACACTCTGTTCATTGCTTTATTTCATGTGTATTTTTCCCATCTTTACATAGTTTTATTCCCAGGTATTTGTATTCTTCGCCTGATAATATTGTTTCATCATCTTCCAAATGTAAGTTTCGTGATGGACCTCCAATGCATAAATACTTCGTTTTGTCAATGTTGATGTTAAGCCCCCATTCTATGTATTTGTCTTTCAGTTTCTGTGTCATGTATTCTCACTATAAGCCATTATGTTAAGGAACAGATGTGCAAGAACATGGCCCCCTCTGTCTGTAATCTGAAGGTGAACCTTCAAACTCAAAATCTTGTGAAATAATTATGTATATCGAAGTTTGCGATTAGATAGACCACTGAATGCAAGCAAACTATGTATTGCTGAATCATGGCAGTGTGGAACACAGAACTAATTAAATGTATCTCTTTAATTCATATACCACCGTCAAATACAACTGTTTAAAATTTGCCATGTAGACCCTTCATGAACCTTGCCATAATCTGGATCAAGCAGAGTTGACGGAAGATAAGCCGATTCACTAAACAGACATCATGACCCTCATTATGCAATTTTCTCCAGCCTCCTTTCATTTTCTTCATCTTAGATACAAATATCTGTAGAAGTCTGTTTTCAGACATCGTTAATCAGTGTTGTTCCCTTACTGTGAGAAACCATGTTTTACACCCATACAAGACAACAGATAAAATTAAAGGTGAGATTTCAGGATCTCTTGGTGGCAGGTAAAAATACAGTTCTGTATACTTTAATCTTTACATTTTCAGATAACAGATGAATGTTTTGTGTGTGAGAAACATGATCTCTCTCTCTCTCTCTCTCTCTCAGCAAGGAACATAGATTTAATACAATGAACACAAAAAAACATTGAATGTCTGTGTTTAGTTTGACTTGGTACTGTGAAAATTTTTGTGGAATATCCAAAGTTTGTGACCTGTTTTCTTCAACAACTGTGTATTGCTTTACTGAGAAGTTACTGTACAGGAAAAGAAATGTGCTGTTGTACTTATACAGTCGCACTTCTGTCACTGTTGCGTTGGTAACTGAATGTCTTAACTGGCCTCTTACCCATCATCTGATTATGCTACTGTAGCCACAGCTGTGCTAATGGTCTGTTACTATTTCCCATTTACTAACTTGCTTGCCAAACTTTCAGTCCCTTACCACATCACCACAACCTTTGTCTGAAACATCTATGTTGGAGAAACGGCCCAAGATTAAAAAGAAAAAGGTAGGAGATGGAATGAAATTTCCCCCTACCAGTAAATTGTTTGCATTATAAATGTTTTACTCTTTGAGTTAGCACCGATTGAGTAGCAAGTACAAAATGTTTTGCATGGCCTTTGAACTAATGTAACAGAGAGAGTGGAACGATATTGTTGTTTTGCTTGTACCACCTGTGCAACTCTCTCCTACCTCGCTGTGCTACTTGGCTGTAACTTCTTGTTTCCAAAACAGACGACTAGGGAAGCTTCTGCTGAGCAATGGAGGTTTACAGGTAACTTCACCAATTACTAAAATGTCGCTGGAAATGGGAAACAGTTACGTATGTCACATAAAATTCCTTCGTAATATGTTAAAAAAAATCTTGTTGATTTGCCTCCATACTTCAGTGAGAAAATTCTCTAAAATGTTTATTGTTTATACTGCACCTATAAGACCATATGACAAAATACAAAATACCACAATTCAGATCTTGTACTCCAAGTTTTCAGCATCTGCTTGTACTTCCTTCTGATAATAGAAGAGTTTATAAAAATTGCTGCAACCTCAGTGAAAGAAAAGTACAATCTGTTTTAAGTTTAAGTCGCCCTCAGTGGACCTTGGTTAGCGTGCTCGCCACTGGACCCAAGGTTCGCGGGTTCAAACCAGGCCGAAGTCGATGGATTTTTAAGGGTGACAAAAATCCATAGCACAACTTCCTTTGGAGGGGAAGTAAAGCCGGCGGTCCCATGTCGTAGATTTACGACATGTAAAAGAACCTTACGAGCATGAACGAGATGTTTCGTAAGCAAAATTCAGCGGCCATTTCTCACCCAAGTCTCCTGATTGACTACTAGATGGCTCTGGCAGTCAAATCAGGATTAAGTAGAAATTGTGCAGAGTCAGTGGGCTGGTCACTCACTACTCACAAATCCACACTTCAAAGACCGAGACACCTCCGTAGAGGCGGCTGAGACCCACACCAGGTTGTAGAGCCACTGATGACGACGATTTAAAGTTAAAACTTTTCACACCTTCAGTATAAATTCATTGGGTGTGAAGTTATTTTAAAAGGCCATAATCATATTAATACCTCTTTAGGTCTCTCTTGCCTTTAGACTGCCATCTTTGTAACTAGTTGAATATTTACCATTGACCTTTGTATCAGTTCTGCCAATAAAATACACAATGCACATTAGAAATGGTTGTTGAACAATACCAGAGTTAATGGGGTGAATATTTTCTTAAACATATTACCTATCGTGAAATAAAATCATGAGATAACTGATGTAAAGGTCTGCCGGGATAGCTCAGTCAGTATAGTGACTAGCTACGGGCTGGACGACCGGATTCCCGCCGGGGGCAGAGTATTTTCCCTCTAGCCTCTGCGTCCAGACCGGCTCTGGGGCCCACCCAGCTTTCTCTACAATGGGTACCGGGGTCCTTTCCCGGGGGTAAAGCCGGCCGGGGCGTGATGCTGACCACTCACCCCCATCTAGTGCCGAGGTCAAGGAAGAGAGGAGCTATACCTCCACTCACCCCAAACGCCTACATGGCGTATAGTGGGACAAACTTTACTTTAAAGGTCTACACACTGTAAAAGATAAACACCTGTTATATCTTCAGCACAATGAACATATTTTGGTTTAGCCAGCTTTAACCTAATCATGTGATCCAGGAGATAATTCTCTTCAGTTTCAGGTTGAATTTTCTGTTGATGTCACCCAGATTGTTTTCAAACAACTGTATTACAATTTTGTTGCATTCCATCAGTATGGCAGGTACAATTTATAAACAGAAACTGACACCACATAAAATAATTAAAGATGTCAAGCTTAGAAGTAAAGATTACATTTATGAAAGATATTTACACATCTAATTTCAACAAGAAGTTGCATAGCTTTAATTGTTTATTATTGTAATGTTTCAGTTATTCCTGTCTTCGGTTTTGTAAATAAATGTCAGATATATTGTAGTTCTTTAATTTTTAGTTTAATTTCATTAATGAACTGCCAGAACATCTTTACTTTATATATTCCTCACATATAAACATTTCACTCTTTTTCTTATCTTCCTGTTATACTCTAAATATATTAACAAAGTACCTTTGCATCGTAAGATATTTCAAATTGGAATTATTCATAAAATTTACAGTTAATAATTTGTTTTAAAATTCTGTTCTGAATTGGAATATGATTATGTTCCTGATTTACACTTGCATTTT